CTTTTCCCTTGATACTCTTTGATGGTCGTTCGGACGTTTTGTTTAGCGTCTTAGCTGTCTCTGCTTTTCACGCTTAAGTATACACGTCCTTTCGTCTGGCAACATGTTTGTTATTCTTTCTGTTTTTTTTTTTTTGATTAAAAGCTTTTTACGAATGCTAAGTCGTGCCACTTAAAGCTGGCAGTAGCTATGTTTGACAAACTTTTAGACGCCACTCTATCTGCTGTAAGATTCGTCTATCTCGCCGTCTTTCTTTTTAACTGCATCAGTGCAGTTTCCAACCCTAAGTCGCTGAAAAATATTCATTACCATAAAATGCTTTTCTTGCCTTCGGTTTAAGTGCCCGTCTTTCAACGCCTTCGCTGATATTCCACTTGTACTCTTTTCGGTTCGCTTTCTTTTCAACTCAACTGCAGTGACCTCCTCTAGCGCTGTCGTGCTGCTTTAAATGGCCACGGTTACACTTCATTTCATCTTCACTTGCGTTTGTATAATTTCATTTGCACGCACATACTCCTTCATACATTTACTTATACATTCTACACTCGACAGCATTTGAATCATTCGCTCAGTTGTAAGTTTACTCATTCGTTTATTCATTGCATTGTTACTTTTTATTTTTCATTGCTTTGTCCGTTTCTTTTTTGGTGGAATTAAACGGTTACGAATTTTCTGGTGACCCCTCAGGCTTTTCAGTTTGCACTTAAATTTAAGTCTGTGCACAAAACTTATTGCCTGAATATATTGGCCAATTTAATGGCAGTTGGTGCTGGACAAAAGTCCTTATTTATTTCATGAAACAGAAATATATTTATTTGTATTATTTAGGTTTATTAGTTATTATTTTTTTATGTAAATTAAACAGTGAAGTTTAAAAAAATTGCTATCTACCTCACGTGTAGATGTGCTAATGTTCTAAGTGATTTTAAAATTCCAATATTAACATTTGAATTGAAACTGAACACAGATATTCTTGCCAGCCACTCCCACTCTAGAAATTTTTTGAGACTAGTGCTGTAATTTTTCCCTCGGTTAGAAAAAGGTTCTTTGGTATCGAAGAAACAAATTTTTGCATTATCACTTTTTGTTGCTATTTTCGATTATACCCCTGCAGGCATCGTAAATTTGACGAACACAACTGGCATCGAGGGGTCAGTAAGGACCTCAAAACGAAACGTAATAATTCTAAAGGCTTTCATCTCAAATAATATAACATATATATGTATATTCATGAAAAAATAAACAGACGTACATCACCAACTAAAAAACAAATAATACTTGATATGAGATTAAATCTTAATTAGGCGCATTAAGAGAATCACACATTTAGTCGCACGGGGTCCCGAGTCACCCCAATAAAAGTGTTGAAAAAAGAGCTTCACAAATAAAAAGAAACAAAGCTTGTATTATCAAAAATATTAAAGTACTCTACTATCGTAAACCCGAGTCAGCTGACACGATCTGTGTTACCAGAGCGCCAGGTAAATGAAAACTCAACATCGCAGAATGTTTCTGTAGTTGTAGCCTGTAGCGCAGAAATCTTCGGAATTTAGATTTTTCCGTGTCAGCTGATTTCTTCCTTCTATAGATAGTTGCCACTTCGTCAGTTTTGCAGATGGTGAAAAAGTTATAAGTTCCTATTCAAAATACGTTTAAAATATTTGAAATTGTAGTTGAAAAGGCAAGTTTATGAAAAGGCATTGATGAGTGGCAACACTGTAGTAAGCAATACTGAGGGCTCCAGTAATCGACAAAGTACTGCGTATACAGACAGCGTTTAAGTGTAAGTTCTGCGTTCTTGACTAATCTCACCTTAAATAAATCAAAGCAATATTAAATCCCTCTATTATAGTTAACTTTAAGAATGAAAGCATATCTTTGACTTCAAACTTAGATACAAAAATAAAAACTTACCTACCTCTGCAAAATATTATGTAAGTGATCACGTGGGTTCAGGAGTTAAGAGAGTAGCGAGGGGAGTTGGGAAGCTATAATGAGTGCCAGCGCGCTCCAGGCCCTGACTCCATGTACCCAATTAAAGGTTAATAATTTATTTCCGAATACATGTATAAAAGCTATAGTGGTATATATTGAGGTCAGCTTGCCATTTAAGTGTTAGAAAATAAATTTTAAGGAGTTTTTGTTAGTTTAAAACCATTTTTTTTTTTGATTTTTTGAAAATTTCCGCCCTTTAAGTATAGATAAGTAGATATATCTGGTACTAGAGTTCGAAACAATTCTGTGGCGCTATAAAAAACAGACTCGATTTGACGGGAAATATTTTTTAGTAATTAAAAATGATTGGCAATTAGTGTAGCGTTGGTAATGTAATTTACTGGTTGTTTTTTGTTTACGAAACATCGTTTTGTAGAGAAACAAATTAAATGTCTAACAATTTGCGGGGAAATTATTAAGCTGCGGGTAAACCCTTTCAAGTAGATAATCGAATGCTAAATTATTAGCCGAATTTACTAAGCTGCGGTTAACCCCTTTCAAGTAGATAATCGAATGCTAAATTATTAGCCGAATTTACAGTGCTTAGTTAAACGATTGTCAACTTAACCACCAACAAGAGGTTAACTATGAATTTATATTCACAATCATAGGGTTAACTATGGAACTTTATATCGACTGTAAGTATATCAAGTCTTCAAATTAATATTTTTCTATACAAATTTGAAATTATTTTCACAAAAAAGTTTATATTAAATGAATATCAAAATTGTTAGTTAAACTCCTGTCTGTAGTTAACTACGCATTGCGAATTTGGCCCTAAAAGATTTTTTTGATAATGTAGATATGACCACGGAAGTTCGTTACTCATACGCCACGAATACCCGCCTTTCATCAAAATTAATAATACAACAATAAGAATGTATCTATGTAGATATGTATGTAACAAAAAAATTGTTTGAGTTAAAAATTGGTAAGCAAGCGACAGTGACCAATGGTAAGGGTCTATTACCAACAATTCTTCCACTCGAAACTTGTTTTGTGTACAAAAATTTCCATCATAGGAGTTAAAAGTCTACCAGACTTAAATTTTCTTTCCTCAGGTATTTTGAACCATCACGAACTAAAATGGGTTAATATGAAAGTCTGTCGGCCAACGTTCGGCTACGTACTAGGGTCTGCAATGCATTTCCTTTCTTTCAGGCATTTCGGCTATGGCCTTGGAGTAAAAGAGATCCAAAATATCTAACCAATTCCATTGAACTTTCGCTTTTTTCTTCTTACCACTTTTTTTGTAATTTTTTATTCTTAGCATTTTCCAATGATGGAAAGTCGTTCAAAATTAATATTTTTTTCGAAAAAATTTATCAGCACCAACATATTTGAATAGATAAATACGCAGCTTCATTGTGAGTGCCGTGTAGGGTACCATTGATGTGTCGCGAGTCGTTTCGAAAATTAAAAGGCTTTGGGCCGTATGAATAAAAGCAATTGCTTCGCTTTTATTTATGCCCTTCACAAATTACCTAAAATGCAGACCCGAATTGTGCATAAATTCAGAAAAATTTGTCATAGCGAAGTATTTTCGTCAAACCTTGTAATTTGTTGTTGTTTCGTGCAGTTTCGCTTAGTTAGTGTGTTTAGGGGGGGTAGTTGTACCCTTTTTTCTGGTACGAAGCATTGTGAATTGTAAAATGCCTCAATTAAGCATTGAAAGACGTTTGAAGAGGGCCTTTCAAGCTCCACTTTCGGACCCTCTCAAACTAGATGATGAAATCCAAACTTGTTAAAGACTTTGCCAGCTAAAAATGCGGTAACACTGTCGTAGGTTCCAGAACATTTTGAGTCGAAGGCAACGAGGTTAAGGAGTTGACGCGAAAAGGATCCTTAAATGTCCTTTTTGTGGTCCCAGTTGAAAACGTATACTTAGTGGATACATTTTTACCGTAGCACTGGGTAGCGGTGGGGGGTTCTTCAGACGAATTTCTCTGAGCGATTTGATTCTGTTTATACTTTAAAGTGAAGTTAAAACGAAAAAAAATAATTTACGTTCATTTTGCATTAAAATCGAGGAATACAGAAAAATTTGGACTCAAAATGAACTTGGGTCATTTGCATTTGGATTTCAGAACCTGACTGAGTAACTGTACTTGTTCGGTTTGTAAGAACGAAAAATCTGGTAGCAATTGAAAACAGTGTTTTTCTTTAGTTTACTTTGCAGGCGTGGGTTTGTGGAAATTGAGTTTCTGCAAATATGAGTGCTTTTTGTTCGAAATAATATAGCTATTTTAGAAAATTATAAAAATATCTGAATATTAGATTACACGTTCTCCTACTAAGGGTTCTTCGCATAAGGCCAGATATGCCGACAATGAATCTGCATTGCTGAGAACGGTGAGCCTACTGCAAAATGGAAAAAAATTTTAGTAAATCCCAGGATCCCGGGATAATTATTTTTGCAACCCAAAATCCGATATTATTTACATACTTGGCTATTGAATACCCTACTTCACCATAGCACAGGGCACCGCCCAAGGGCAGTGGGGATGCCAGCGACTTACTGTTCAATAAGTTCAGTGAGGAGGTATTTGAGAGTGTCATAGAAATGCATATGCCATTAGAAACAAGTGATAAAATGCCTAGCTGGATCCTTTCAAGACCTAGCTAGATGCTCTGAGTTTAAAATCAACATGATTTAAAGTTACCTACGACCCACTAATGCGTCTCAATCATATGGTTTGCCTAAGTCAATGGGACCTTACTAATGTGGCATAGCATATCACGCTAGATTTTAGCAAGGACATAACTAATCGCACAAGGACCTCTTTACGATATTCGTAGCTATTGTCTACATAATGCAACTTCTTATTGATAAATCTATCCCTAAACTATACGTTGATGACCACTATATGGTAAAAAGTGTTCGCAGCACATAAATGTGTATACACTGGTAGATATGTAGGTACTTACGCACGTTCGCTGATCAATATTAACATCAAAGAGCAATCAGTAATGATGAAATCAAATTGTTTTCACTTGATACTTACAGCGTATATGCAACGAAACTGGATTACTGGCGCCCTTTCCCTCCGAATTCACAGCCAAACACGTGTAATCACCAGCGGATGCACGTGAGACACTCTGCAGGACGAGTGATTGATCCGAAAGGATGATGCCAGCTGAAACATTGGAATGCAGTTCCTTGCCCTGCAGCGCCGAATCACAGCCATATGAGCCAAGGATGTGTGTGTGTGTTGTTATAGTTGTTGTAGCAGTATGGCGAAGTGGTAAATTGCAAGTGCATCGTTGCGTAATAGAACCGAGAAGAAAGAAAATGCAAGGAAAATGAGAAAAAGTGCAAAAAGAATATTTATTGTATATTTTTAAATCCGCGTGAAATAACGTGTAACAAATGGTGAAATAAACGCATCAGTGCCAGTGAGACTGACACGCGTGTGATAGTGACGACCGAAGAGCATAGCCGAGAAGACGTCAGGACATGACCAAGGAAAATGGCTGAGCGTATGTGAATATGTACGTATGTGTTCGAGTGTTTGTGTGCACTGATGGCATACTAGTGTTGATGAAAGGGATCATAACGCTCTTTGATTTTAAGAACATTACTGAAGGAAGCACACATATTTACGAGTGTATAGCTTGTAGCTGATGACGAAATGCAAGAAAATGATGATAATCAGGATGATCTGAACTTTCAAGAAGGGGGAAATCATAGGAGAGGTCATGCTATTTGTAAAATAATTATGAAGAAGATATACACATGCGATTTCTCTGGCCGGATATGTTGACAGATACACACATGTACATATTTGTATACAGTAGTATGTTTAACATTTATGTACATGCGTAGATGCCCTTAAATAAAGTAGTGGAAGAAAATTTAGTAAAAAGTGACCAACACTGCATATGTGCAGTGTCAAAATGTATAAAATTATAGAGGGGAAAACCTTAGCTTTCCACTAGGTTCAGAGTTGGGGTTAGTGCACTAAGTTTTGAGTACACTAACTTCTTTACTACTTCTAAAAACTTTAGTGATATTGCTATTCTTTTTCACTATAACTTATTTAGTGGTAGTGAATAAGTTCGCAATAAAATCAAATAGTACAAAGTTTAAATAGTTACTGCATATAAGCTGCAATAAAAATTTGTTCATTCAACTTTCAAAAATTATTGCTCATAAAATTTCTCGAGCCGAAATTTGATACGGTGCATGTACATTAGGTTCATGCCTACATTATTTTGGCGGTTAGGGCTCAGTACGTAATACTTCAAAGAAAGACAGCCTATGAAAATTTGTGTGGTTGTAGAAGTAAACACTGGAAAAATAGGTAAGCACCATACAAGGTCATCCATGCTTTCTTTCAGTTTTAGTACAAAAATTGTCATCATAATCAATGTAATCTACTAGTAAAGCGCAAAATGGACACCTCCGACGATGCATTACGCTGTCAGTTGCAAAATAACGTGCCGCCGAAGTTATCTCCAAGCGCCGAACTACTCCGAGCGACTGCTCTACATTCTACGTCACTTACTTTGTAAAGCGCCTCAAAAGTATATCTAATACCTAATGTACATTTTAAATTCCTACTTATATAAGGCGGCCACCCTTTTGGAAAAGTAAGGGAAATTCGTCAGTGAAGTGCCATATCATATCAGGGGCGGTTCAGGGAATGAAGCACGCTATTCAATCCTCTTCTATGCTAATTGACGCCAATTAAAAATGCAAACTGATGCCAAGTCCTTCTCTAGCAGTAATTTTTATCCTCTGTCATCGCCAGCGGCCGCAGCGTTTTTTCATGAATTTACAAAAATTGTATTTTTTGTTAATTTTTCAAATGAATTGTTTTTAAATAATAATTTATTTTTTCAATATTTCTACGCTCTGATGTTGGAGAATGTACTTTGAATGTACTAGCAATATACATAGATGTAATACATATATGAGAAAGCTTATCAGAGCAGAGAATATGCCTTTTTTGCCTTATAAGTATAAGAGTGTGACATATTAAGAAATGAGTATAAAACTTTTTCACCCCTTGCCTTTAATTTGGAATAGAATACGAAAAGAGAAAGGAGCAATCAAAAGGCGACATTTTTTCAAGAAATGAAACCGAAACCAAAACCGTAACCGTTTATAACCGTTTCCAAAACCGAAATCGAAACCAGAACCGTTACTTGACCTTTATAGGAACGAAACCGAAACCTGTTCAAGCACAGGTTTCAATCGGTTTCCAGAAATTTATAAAAAATCAGCTGCAAGATGTAGCAACCAAAATTTTATTTTCTCGGTACCATAACTGTGATGTTTCACAAAAAATTACTTGCATAACAAATTTGTTGACTAGTATGTGAATAGCCTTATATTTAGTTGTTATATGTCGTGATTTATAGCAACACTGATAAATTTGCTGCAATTCAAGGCGGTAGCAGTGCTGCCGCTTTCACTTCAGATGACGAGTCTGATGATTTTGAGTTAGTGCTGTCTCAGTCAGACGCGAATCGTAATTCCGTGGACCGAAACTTCTGAAATTATCCTTCCTGTATTAGCAAAGCAAAGCAAAGACGGCAAGATTCGATTTTATTGATAAGAGCTAATCAAGTGTTTGGCCTACAAATATATTTAAATACATTTATTTGCTTTTGCGAGTAAGATGTGACTATTTAAACAAAAAATTTTTATTATATTATAATATCAACAAAATTTCTGTGAATATCACACTTACTTATATGTATGTACCCTGCAGAAAAAATTATCAATTGATTAAAATAACTAACTTTAAATGAGCTGTAAGGTCGTGCAGGAGTTATGCAGACGTTATCGTGAGTTTTTATCATTACAAGTTTCTATTTAAATGTCCTCCTACAAAAATAATTTCAAAACACATTTTTTTCTGCAATTCGCAGATTCTTTTTCGAATTCAGGACATATAAAATAAAGATCGAAATTTTACATTATTATTTTGATGTTATGTCTGATGGAATTCAAATGTGGGACCACCTACAAAAGAACATGTAACCAAATAAGCAAATATGTAATGTTAAATAGAATAAATAAAAAAATATAAAAATGAGAAAAGAATTGTATTGATATTTATGTCCAAAAGTAGTTAGCTATAAGTTAGTTAACACCTAATCCACAGGAAACCAGGGATCATTATTTTTCGGTCATCACCCTTCAAAAGTAGTTAGTTACGGCCAAGGGAAATAGTTAATAAATAGTTACCACTAGTCGACTGCTAGTTAGTTGATATTTAGCTACAAACTAGTCCCATTTCCTGCAGGGTATGTATATCAAATACCTTTCAGCAACAACTCCCATTATATAATAAATAATATAATAAACAAATTTCTGAATTTAGATCTAAGCAAATGTGATGGAGATTATTAGATTGTATTGATTGGAATATGGTTATTAGATTGTATTGTATAATGGTTATAAGATTCAGAGGTGATTTCTTTACATAAATTAAAATTAATCACAATGTTTAGCTTCGCCAAAAACAAACCTTGGAAGGTAAATTATTATTTAATAAATAATTAGTTTTTTTTTGTCAAACTTATCTTAATTTTTGTATTCCAAAACCGAAACCGGAGAAAAACAGAAACAAATTTTAAAGAACGAGAACGTAACCGAAACCGGAACACTTTGCAAAACCGAAAGCGAAACAGGAACACGACATATTTTGAATCGGTTTCATTGTACCTTCCATTTTTTGGTAGAAACGAAATCATCATAGATAAGTGTTTCAATTTAATGAAACGTTTCTGTGCTCCACTAACATTACCTGAAATCGGCTGAAGGAATATTTTTTTTTCAATATTCGATTCTTAATTTTAGTGGTCCATTTTTTTATTTCGCTATGACTATTGTATAGTTAGCCTGATATTTTGCAATTCACCACAAAACATCAAAAGTAGTAGTGAAAAATGTTTCATTACTATCATTAGCTACTAGTGTAAACTGAAAATGTAGGGTACTACCCCCAACTAGCGATATGTATGTCCGCTTGATGTCCAAAATATATGGCGATTTTATTTGTTCGAAATACATATACAATTTCTTTTTGTAAAAATTTGTTTTTTTTTTTTTGCATTTTCTTGTTAAATTTTTATATGCAAATTGAATTCGGTTGTGTTTTTGCCTAAAATTACTTGTTTATAACTATTGCATTGAATGGAAGAGAAAGGACATTTCCCGCATACATGTTAGTTTTGCACTACGTGTAGGATAAGTAGCCTTTGGCTAATATTCTCTGCGTAATGCTTTGATTTTGGCTTTGTCAGAAGCCCACAAGACTACTGGGAGAGGCCTGTGCAGCACAATATTGAAGAAGAAGAAGTTCATTCAGAAATTGACCAACCTTTGACGAGCCAATGAAGAAGCACATTTTGAATTTGTTTTGGAATATGTCTTGGGTGTAAATGAAAGTAGGTACGTATATTGACGGCTGAGTGGAAGATCGACCTATGTATCTCAGTAGCCCTATCTCAACTTAAAATATGTTGAAAATATGTTGAGACAGGGCGTTTTGAATCGGCAGCTGGGATAAGGTATTTTTTAATTCAACTCTGAAATAAGGTGTTCTGAAATCAAATTCCAAGATAGGGCGTTCTTCAACCAAATTCTGAAATAGGACGTTCTTGAAAAGATTTATGATATAGGGAGTTTTGAACTGATTGCAGGGATAAGGCGATCTTCCACTCAGTCACCGATGTGTTATGGACCTTGTAAATTTAATTGAGAAAACAAGAAGATTTTCAGAAATCTTAAGATGGATGATTGTACTCATTACATACACTTTGAAACATAATACCGGCCGATTGCACTTGTGTAGCTAAATGTTTCTATCGACATTGAGATTAAAGGAAAAAATGCTGCAAAATTGGATAAGCAACTGAGGAACGCAAAGTATGCAACTAAGTCAAGACAAATCCCTAAATCTAATAATTTTGTTGTTTAACTTTTCAGTAGGTAAATTAATAAATCCCGACTTTGCAGGCTTTAAATTGGGATTAGTTAGTTTGGCAACATTTTCCATAAATTTCCACTGTATTTGTTTGTGGTATGTTTTTGTTCTTTCATGCGATTATCTAAAAAAGAAAACTGCATTCAAACTTGTTTAAGAAAAGTACAACTTAAGAAGTGAATCTCTTTAGACCCCTCGTCTTCACGTGTTAAATATTGTTTTTTTTTGTATTGTTCCTTTTTTATGTGGAAAATCATATGCCTATAAATTAAAACGGATGTTTTTTAAATAATGTTTTTTTAGCATGTAAGCGTCTACTGGAAAAAAAAATACTAAAAAGCTTAATTTCGAAGCGAACTTTGCTTACTCACGTTTTTTGCAAATATAATTTTCTCAAACAGCCTTAGAAAAAATATAAAAGAAATTTTTTAGTTTTTTTTATAGTGAATTGCATTTAAAAAATGTCTAAATACATCGCGTTCTGAAACTTTAATAAGTTTTTGCTTCTTCTGTAAAGCAGCGAAAATGCGAGTTACGTCCTTTCCATACTATACTAATGTTTCCCTTGGGAAAAACACGATATGTTGCAAGATTCAAAATCGGTGCAAAATAATATTTAAAGTTATAGGCCCTAAAATTATTCAAAAAGCTGCAAAGATATGTTTAATGGCTTCTACGTGCAGTCAACCAAATGCCAAATAATTTTGTGTAGAAGAAAGGATGTAACTCTACAACGGGTTATATAACTAATAGATATGTATGTAGATTTCTCACCGTACCATCGCCTGCGAAATGTGTCATCGCCAATGATTAAAGACCCGTAAATCTTTCGCACAACCTTTCTATTTCTTTCGAAAGTGTGGGTTACCCTGTGTTATTTGTTCACAAAACACTTAAAAAAAAACTTAGTCCAAAGCGTTCAAAATTTCTTAAGAACTTCATTAACTCTATTTAAATTTATTTTCCAGCGTATTGTAAGTAAATTTTTCAACTTTTTAGTGCTTATCTCACCTGCTTTCCGGATCTGGTTATGGTAATAAAACGATTTCATAGTTATTGATTTGAGCGTACTTTTTTACCTACTGTAAAAAGAGTTACAGTTAAGCAATTTTAATAATTAAAGGGGGAACATTTGATGTTACGAATGTCATTACCATTAAACTACTTACTATTCCAAGTAGTTCGCTACTAAGAACTAAATAAACAAGTGCACAAGAATACATTGTGCCTCAGCCATGTTTTCATATTGCTGTAGTTTAACATGCCTGCATATTTATGACTTACATCTCCTTCTTAGGTTTTAATCAAACTTGCTGCCAGAATCAAGAAAGCAGTTATCATTTTTGTACAAGGGCAAAAAAAAGGATACAAGCACATAGAATCACTATGAAAAAAATTTCGAGTTAAATAAAGGATTACCACATCACTTGCCATTCCAAGTCAGACAAACGAATGGAAATGACGTAAAGTAAACTCAAGATGAAGCCTAAGAACGCTTGGGCAGTAGGTAGCAAAAAATGTTATTCTAGATGGAAAAATACTTGTACAGACATACTCCTGCCTGAAGTTTAGAAATAAATGGATTTATACCAGTTGTTTTTTGGTAAAGCCTACAGACTTCCCAAACACCACATGGTCGGTATAAATGATGAAAATTTAGTAGTAGTAGCTAGGCAGAAAGGTTGGTAGGCCAACAAACCGGCGAACCTAGTCTGGATTTAAAGACAAACTAAAAAAATAAAATAATTTCCACTAAATGTCTTATCCTATGTTGTACCAGCTGTGTTTGTATGTATATATATATACATAAGTAAAAACATACGTAGAAATGTGCCTATTAGATTTCTTCTTGTATATTGGAAAGTCCACACGAAATCGTGTATACATATGTAAATATGTGCAATGTACATACATATCTATTCAAAAGAACTGAAAAAAGAAAACAGTGAAGACTTTTATTAAAGCGTCTAGCAAGTGTGCGTTTGCATTAAAAAGCTGTCTACTGGAATCCTGTGCACACCTATCAATGCATGTATATATGTACATACACTAGGGTGGTAATAAAAAAGTTTAAAATGGTCAGCTCTCACCCCAAGCATTTTTCTAAATGAAAACACATTAAAAAGCCTAAGTTCGGGTGAAGCCGAAAATTAAATAAGTAGCCGGCGAAAGTATTAAATATAGTTTTCAACCTTTCTGAAAACTACAGTTACATGATAAGCAGAGTGGTTTTTGCCCTATTTCTAACGATGTCGATAGTATTTTCATTTAGTCTTAATGGGATAACCTTATACAGTTATAACTGGGCGGTTCTACGCCCATTTTATAAAATTCCATAATAATGTTATTTATTTTTAAAGTATTGTTGTGAGATCAACTTTGAGTAGATATGCATCCTTAATCTAATCTATGTTTCTAAAATTTACCGTTATATTAAAAGTAGGCGTAATTTTAGTCCGAATTCAAAAATTTTCAACATTTTGCTTCTATATGGCAAGTACAATAACTGTACCGAATTTGGTATAAATCGATCAAACGGTTACCGAGATACACATATGTGGTCATAAGTGGGCGGTGCCATGCCCATTTTCTAAAATGTTTATGCAAACGAATTTTTTTCTGAAGTGTTATTGCAAACATCATTTTTGAATAAATTATAAATTAGCTTCAGTATTTATTGATTTGTCGAAGATTTCGTATTTCCCTAAATTACCGTTATATGTTATGTGGGCGTGGTTATTATCCGAATTGAAAAATTTTCAGCCATTTGGTATGTTTTCTCAAGACCAACAACTGTACCATGTTGGGCAAAAATTAGTGTAGCGTTTACGATGATAGTTAAACGCATGTAATCATAAGTGACCGTGGCTACGCCTATTTTCCAAAATTGTTTAGTACTTTTATTTTCCACCTAAAAATCATTGGGAATATAAATTTTTACGGCTGTTTACTTGCTGCTACAAAGAACCTTTATGTGAACGAAGTTATAATACCCTTGTGCACAAGTGTAAAGCAAAACAATGTTAAGCTTAGTATCCAGCTCTTAAGAAAACGGTCAAGAAAAAATTGCCATTATTTCGCGTGTGTGTCCAAGGAATTTTGACATTTTTTATACCTCACAGCCTGTTGCCTCACTCTTTCCTCAAGAAATAATGGAACGGGCATATATTTCTGTTGCAAACCTGGGTTGCCTTGTGCTCTTTTTTCACAAAAAACTTTAGAAAACCGTAGTAGAAAGCGTACTAAATTTCTGAAGAACTGCGTACTGCCTTAAGGAAATTTGACTCAAGAAAATTTCTTAGCCATTTCTTGTACGTCATTTTATATGGAGTTTTTGCTTTTCTTAAGAGCTGGATACTAAGCTTTAATTAGGACTGCCTGGAATCCCATGAAGTTTTCCATGTATTTTTTAAGGGAGAAAAACTCTTTGTTCGTACAAATAGTATAGAAGTCTTGAAAATCAATACTTTTCGATCGCAAAACTTTCTTTCTCTTCAGGAGACTCAATTAATTTTCTTTACCGTTATTAATACTAGAGATTATTTAATACTAGCGATTTTTATGGTTCCATCCATTGCATATTTTGGGGATTTTAAAGGACGTTTAAAAAACAGTTAGTATTGAAGAATCGTTAAATTAACAATTGGGCACTATAATTGGAAGCTTCTCAAAGATAAACAGAGTTTTCCGATCGAAAAATATTGTTTTCAAGAACTCAATATCATTTCTAGGAAAAGGTGTTCCCGCCCTATATAAAATACATAGAAAACTCCATGGGCTTTCAGACGGTTCTAAATGTAATTTTTTTAATAAAAAAGATATATTTTTCCATTTACAAAAATCCTAAGCTTAACTTTGTATACCTTTTCTCCACGCATGCACATTAGGACCACCCTAACTTACATACATATGGACATAAATGTCGCTGCACATTAAAATTTGTACTTGTATATGTAAATATGTGCATGCTATATACAAACATATTTTTTTTTAAGTCGTACATAAGTACTTATGTATAGATCCATATATAAAAGGATCTAGGTATGCAATGAATTGTAAATCCTTGCATACATATTTTTTGTGTATTTGCTTCACGGCTGGCAATTTTTTTGCTGTAGAGTTTTTGTGCGATGCGTACATACTTACAACCATTTGTGTTACACATTTCACTTAAGTGCTTTAATGGTTTAATGTATGTATTTTAACTTGTTAAAAAAGGAGATACAACTCCTTTTTGTAACTTTTCTTACATTCGTGTAAATGTTCTGAGCTTTTTCGTTTGCATATTTTACTTTTTGGTACTTACGTTATGAAACCACGACATTTTGTATGGCTTTGGATTTGATTGTATGACGCATTCAAAGTAAACGTCATCGCCTTCCTTTATGTCATCTGGATTCAATGAAGAACCCATTTTGAGATGAGCTGTTGGCTGATCTATAAAGAAAGAAAAAAATTGGTTCAATGAACAGGCAATCGTGGCTTTATTAATATTGTACTATGAAATGATACATATACTGAAATCAAAAAGTAAAATAATATACGAGACTGTACTTATTTTCCACTTAATAATAGTTCACAAAAATAGCATAGTAGGAGATTACAAGTTAACTTCCTGAGCTGAGCTGTTCATATATCGCGGCGAAAAGTTCGAGCATGCAAAACCAAATATTATTTAATGACGAAAGCATGCATTCTTATTGGAATTTCAAAATGCTTTGGCATTTTCCACGAAAATCGATCCTGAGCTAAAAATTATAGAATAGACCCTTTAGCAGTACATAGTCTTACCGAGCGTGTTGTGCGAAAGCTTAAAGCTCAACGTTAACAAATTACCTGGACTTTATCAGCGTGGCTTTTCAAATGTTGGTGAGTTTATCGGGCAATTGGTACTACAGGCTTTGAAAAACTTAGTCATGGAACTATATTCAGTTGAACAACGAGTAAAAGTGATCCAAGCGGTGATGTTGATAAAAAAAAATCGTAATGAGCGATAAGGCCAATTTTCATCTAAACTGCAGTAATCGGACCGTACTTCTTCAGAAATGATGCCGGTATCATGGCAGGATAAACAATTACTTTGGTATGAACTACATGACATGGGCGTTGACTTTTTTATTCCAGAGTAGGGGAGACAGATAACATATTTAGTTATGGATGTAACTCACAGTTCCGATAAAATAGTGTTGTTTCCGAAAAGGAGCTTTATAAATTCCACCTACAACATTTTCATACCCTTTAGGAGGCGGGACTAATCAATTGATTCAGGCTTGGACATTTTTAAAATCTTTTCCGATATCGACAAACACGTCCGTCTATTTTTTGATGGCTAATACTTTTTCAATCGTTGATAGGTATGACTTTATTGGAGCGCAGTTTCCAAGGATTTTCCCTTACGGCAGGCATGTTGGTTCGCAGAGGCTATAATTTTTTAGATTTCGTCGTATGTTTTCATCTATGAGGCTTTGTAGAGTCTTTAGAAGAAATGAGGTGACGCTTATGGGGCTGAAATCTCTTTCTTTCATATGCACCCTTTTGGTAGAAAACTATCTTTGCAGAGGACATCCAACCCTGTCATGACGTTCCTTGCGGGTTAGAATGTGTCCTACGTCTGCATAAACTGAGGACATAATATAAATTCATTCCAAGGATATACTTTGAAACGAATTTCCGTCAACTCTCGTCAAATATGCTTTAGAGACAAACCAGTTTCCGCGATTTGTCATTTTCAGTATAGTTTTTCGTTCTCAGCGAAAATTTGTCAAGAGATGATGGAAAATCGTTCAAAATACATCATACACCAACCCGGTCACAAAACAACAACTAAAAAGGAAAAAAATTCCAAGTACTTTGAAATATTAGGATATGAACTTCAAGACTGCTCGTCATTCGTCTCCTACGGAGCATAGGTTTTAAGATGTTTATAAATTTGGTGAGTCTTAATAACCGCGGCATCTGTTATGACTTCTCTAAGCTGGTTTTAAGTGTCAGTTGGAGAAGGACTAGGCTTCATATTGCATTTCCGCTTAGTTTCGGCTAGCACAGCGCCATACAGGAATATCTAAACATATTTGTGATTGCTTCGTTATAGCCAATAAATCACGTAATAAGTTTACGAAATGTCGCCTATTAAACATGTCAGCCCGCAAGTAAACTGAAACTATGTATGGAGAAAATCGAACACCGTGCCGAGATAAAATTCCTTACTCGAAACCGTCTGTGGTAAAAAGTGTACTGGTAAATCAGTGATTTATAAATAGCATGGGCTATTTAAACACGGTCGGGGTCGATTGAAGACCACCACCGCTTAGGATGGCCCGTCGAGGTAACCACAACTGACATCGTTGAAAAAGTTTAAAACTTGTATTGCTCATCGATTATAAAGAAAAGGGTATCACCATAACCGGAGTATACTACGCAACCAAATCAGAAAAAGGAAAGGAGGCCAGCAAGGAAAACCCACGAGGAAAATTTTCCAAGGGTGTGTTACTCTTGCAAGACAACGCACCGGTTCACAAGAGTAGAGTTGCAATGGCTGCTTTGCCCACGCATGCCTTCGAATCGTTGGCTCACCCACCTCCCAGTGACTTTTATATGTTTTCAAATTAAAAAAAAAGTGTTAAGAAGAAAGACGACGATGTGGTCAAGGAGGCAATTCTGGCTCAATTTGAGGCGAAAGACAAAAAATATTTTTTCGACGGTTTACAAAAACTAATTAACCCAGCAAAAATTGTTGGGTCATGTGGCCCATTTGTGCCAATTTGGATAATACTTACAATATGCTACTCTGTAATACATTAGAGGAGCAACTCTGGTCTCTACACCAACTTATTGTTACCCGATCATTGCTCGTGTTTTAACGTGCAGTGCAGAAAAAATGTGTAGATATTCAAAGTAATTTTTGCATGAGCATATATAAATGGATTGTTTAAAGAAAAAAACTGCCAACTTTACAACTCACTTTAAGTTGGTGTTTTCATTGCTTATTAATTGTGAGATATTTATCGAAACCTCGAAAAGAAGGTACAAGCTGGTTATTTCTAACAATTGAAAATTTTTCACTGCAGGGGAGTACTGTTTACATGCATGCATGAAATAGTCGCGCTTTTTGCAGGAAATATATGCATATATTACGGTACAGCAACTGAAACGTTGAAAGCGTAACATCACAGTTGACAATTAAACCAAAGTGAAACTGCTGCTTAAGGGTATACAAAGCTCAGAGGCAAAATAGCGCAGTGCATAATTATTGCTACAACTGTACGTACTAGTATGCCCTTGTGTTCATATGTATGGAAGTACATACTCACATTCATACATGCAACATTTTACATAAATACTTTGCAAAGAAAATTAGGTTTGCCTCAACTGAGGTGATATTAAAGTAAATTGTCAGCGGTTAGGCAATGAGTGGAATAGTCTGTAGTGAAATATAATAAAAATAGATGGTCTGCCCATTTCACCGAGTTTTACCGCTGTTTTTTTGCGGTAAGCTTGGTTGATGAAAGCATCAACGGCCGACAATGGTAAACGTTACTCTTCTACATGTATGTATGTATATAATTAATTTGGTGGTAGAGAAAGAGAGAGAGAGAGAGAGAGAGAGAAACTAAATACTTTATGACCAAAAAAGCTTGCAGCCCTACCCACAAGTTCATTGAATGAATATTTATGTATGCCTTTAATAAATTTCCACGCAACACCCTTAGTAGCTAAGGTCAGCATAGCAAAATATGCTTTTTCTCTTTCGCATTTTACATACATCCCCACCATTCAATGTGGGCAGCTTGCCAACATCCGAGCAATGCAAATGGGCTATTTATTTTTATTACAAACTTGGCCAATTTTATTTCTAATCACAACCTATACCGGCAAAAAGGAAAATAATAATAACAACAAAAGCCAAGGGGAATTAACAAAAGCACGGCAAGCAACAGCAAATGCCATCCAAGCATTTACGGAGTTCAGCAATTGAATTAAATTGAATGTAAGTGTCAAAGGACATTTCGAACACTGGCCTTTTAGTATTCGGTATTTGTGTTTTTGTGGTTTTTGTATATTTGTGTCTAGAATACACCATTTGTTTGTATATAATTGTGTGTACGCATGTATGTACGTGCGAATGCGTAGGCAAGTCAAATTATGCGTACTAAGTGTATACGTTAGGGTGAACCAAAAAAAGGTAGAGTCAGAATTTTATTGCTTTAATCCTCTTGGATTTCTCAATGCTGAAAATATATGTATTTTTGTGTTTTTTAAATAAAAAATAGTTAGAGACCGCTCTAGGCTGAACACGTATTTAATATAGGGAAAATAAAATTTTTCGTAAAAATGGCATGGAATTCTTGAAAATCCAATGAGAACAGTTTTTTTCTATTTAGGATATCACCAATTATAATATGCAATTATTAATGTAACCATTTTGTATTGTGAACTTGGTCAATTACCATCAAATTTTTAATTTTTTTTAATATAATTTTCAACGCTTTGGGCTTAGAGGTCATAAAACAGGGGTATATTTTTTCAATATAGAAGAATACTAGGGGTGAGAGCAGTAAAATTCGCCCTAAAATTTTTTACATGCATTTTTGGACTATCCTAATGTATATAAGTCCCGATTTGAATTAGCTCCATTGCAAAGAAGTTATGCATGCATACAAGCGTAGCCATTTCTTTCCACAAATTTCCACCAGCATTTCCATTTGTCCGTACCAGTTTGGCGCACAGCATTTAATAGTATATATGTAGAGTAGACTAAATAGAGAATAGACACAACTCGAAAATCAGAAAATTTCAGGAGAACCAAATATATAATAACGGACTGTATGAGTTTTCTTATTGAACAGAAATTCGTAGACAAGATACATTTCAGGAGTTGAAAGATTTTGTTAAAAATTTGAAAATCAGGAATTTAAATATTTTGAAGCGCATTCATAAACATTAGAACAATTTTTGCCCACAGATCAGATTGTGCATTGAGTTTGGAACAAGATAGTTTCATTAAAAAGAAAATATACGCGAAAGAGACCAACCACATATTTTTTATGACGACTACGGAAATTTATAAAACGCTTTGAAGGCTAGTAAATGTCCTCGAGATTACTGAAACCATCCGTGAGTAGACGCTAAAAGCCAAATTTCTACGCTCAGGGAGAATGTGAGAAATAATCTTTAATGCTGTGTGTCGAAAGTAAAGTTTTTAACAGTTTTTGCAGTGGCCATTTTGAGCAAGATTACGGATATTGTTTTTCGATTAGTGACATTTTTTTGTCCTGTCCTGCTCTTTTGGATCAAACAAATCCTCGAATTCATTTCGATTCGACATTTATTGATGGCATTCCAAACTCGTCCTTTTAAAAAAAAAAATTTCATTACAGACCTTGATTCGAAATATTCTTCATCTGAGGAATCCATTTCTTTAAGTTATACTTGCCTAAGCACAAAGAATATTATAAAACCAAAGCATCTCGCATCCATTCGGCGGCACCAAATCTTAATTAGCGCCTTTCGGAACTAGCTTTACGATCGTCTCGGTTTTCAGCGTCCACTCTGCGGTTGCACTGAGGCTGCCGACTGTTATTGCCTCGGAGAGGAAGAAAGACAAAACGAAGTAACTCTTGGGATCAAGGAAACAATTAGCGCTTTGGCACTTATGCCATTTTGTGATATTCCGTTTGACATTGCAAAAAGAGAGAAGCGACTCTTTGTTCTTCTTTTGTTTTCAAAAATAATAACTTTTGCAATCAAATAATATCTACTCATTCGTAAATATTTCATTTAAAATGCTGCTGCTTAAATATGGCCACCGTGGGCATATTTATAATCGAAATAAAGTTTATTTCGAAGTTGGTTGCAGCTTTTTTGACAGATATTCAATGGGGAATTGTGTCAAAATGCTGCAAGTAATTTTAGTATTGACTTTATTTGGACTATCAATGCACGCCATTTGGATAGAGACTTAAGGGTATTCATAGGAAACTGAAAAAGTGATGTAGAAGATATTAGTAAAATAATTTTAAACTTTTACAAGTTGATTTTGAAATACTTGGAGTTGTGCCCTTTTTGTATTTAATATGCAATATGTACATATGTACGTATACTTTTACATACATATACGAATTTAAATGCATGCCCTTATGTTTCGTTCATATTTGTTTGTTTGTAATTTTGCGGTTATTGATTATACTGCCACAAGGCACAATAACATCGGGTTTGTTATTAGTTTGCAATTTCACCACAATTAGCCGCTCACTCTTTGCTTGCATAATAGAATTTAAGTTTACGAAATTTATTTGTTTATATACACTTCCTCTTATACATATACATACAATATAAATGCTAACATATAAGTAAATACTTAATTTCATTACTTACAATATACAACCATTCGCCATTTGTCCTCTATGGTGCTGCCGTCGATGAACTGATTTTCGGCGCGACACGTCAAATATTTACCATCGTCCTCGCGCGTGGGCGTGAATGTCAATATACTTAAAGATTGATTGTCGGGTTCATTAAACTGTTGTTGCCAGTATTAAATTAGTTAGGTCACAATTTTTGCGCGGCATATTGTTTCGCCGAAGAGCGATTGGAGTGGAAAAGATAAAAAAGTTTCATGAAAATTATTTAGTGAATGCCAAGTTGTTGAACACCTATGTATGTACATACTATGTTAGGGAGTTTTTTCTTAAACTAAATAAACAGTGGCAGTGAAATTTATTTTACTTAAATAAAATTGCATCCATCCAATGGATTCCTACAACAAATCCATACATTCCCCATACTTTAAATAACGGTCACTAGGTTTACAAAGGTATAATAAAAAATACTGTAATTCGCCCGCTGAGTGAAAGATCGACCTATCTGGCAGTCAGTTTGAAAACACATCAAAAAACTTTTCAATAACGCCCTATTTCAGAATTTTATTGACAAACACTCTATCTCAGAATTTGGTTGAAGAACGCCCTGTTTTAGAATTCAATTGAAAAATACCCTATTTCACTTCAAAATGTATTGAAAATATGCTGATATAGGGCGTTTTTGAATCGGCAGCTGAGGTAGGGCATTTTTTAAACGAATTCTGAAACAGGGCGTTCTTCAATCAAATTCTGAAATAGGACGTTTTTGAAAAGTTTTTTTTTTTAGATAGAGCGTTTTCGAACTGGCTGCCGAGATAGGTCGATCTTCCACTCAGCAGTCGAAATGCAAATTGAGAAGGTGAGTTTTTATGCCGCTTACTGCTTATATTTTTATTGAATAAAATAATTAAATAAAAAACTATTTCTTGGAAGTGAACATTACTCGCGTAGTTCGCGCATTGCTGGAAAGAGTAATTGAAAAGTGGACCGTCCGAATGAACCACCTACAGCGTGGTCACGGACAACATTTTTATGAAAATATTTTTAAAAAGTTTATGTTAAAAAGTCTTTTTTCGGTTAACAAAAATTCCGATATGCAGTTTGGTTTTAACTGCTTTATATAAATTTAAAAAAACAAAGGTCTGGATGGAACACCGCTCATATAGAAACTTGTGCACAAGTGCAGGTTTAAAACAAGCTCGGATAACACATACGCACTGTTGTACTTATAATTGGCCTTCAAATTTAAACAAGCTGGAAATGCCATATTAAGATTATACAATACACACATATCTGTCGACATATGAAATATCAAGTCCATATTTCACACACACACACAATAGCATATGCCGGTAAAAATGTAAGATAGTTTTTTCTTTTTAACCAATCATTGTTGAGCACAGAAACACTTTGTGCATAGCGATAAAAATAATTTAATTTTTTTTTTTTAAACTAGGCTTGAGTGGTTCTTTCAACATAGTTTCTACTACTGTTTCACTTACATTTTTTGTAAATTTTTTCAACTGTTTGTTGTTGCGCCACCACGTGATGACCGCAGGCGGCTTGGAACCAGAGGACTTGCATTCGACGTCATATGTACGGTCAGCAGAAATGGGCCGATCCTTCGTCATAATGTGAACAGCGACCGGCTTCACTGTAAAATAAAATAAGTGTATATAAATATATATATTACGATTGTAGGTAAATTAGTGCGTTATTATAAAAGAAATAAAACTTAGATTAAGAGCCGTTTTCTCATGTAGGCTACCCTTTAAACACAAATTCGGTTCAAGTCAGTAAATTTTGAAGTTTAAAATATTTTTATATGTACCATAAATATAAGAAAATGTTACTTAGCATTCCAATTAGAAGATATGTGTAGATATATGATAATCGCCAGACAATTTTGCCTTAGCAAAATCAACCTAAACTTTCAGATGGAAAAGTAATTCGTTTTTGCTTCAAACAACTAAACGACCAACAAGCACACTGAAAATTAATGAAAATTTCTTTTTGTATCTACTGTTTGCTCGTTTGCTGAAAAGTGATTTATTTATGCTTTTTGTGGTTCATTTACTAAAACAACAAAAAGCCAAGTCTAAAAACTGAGCAGCTGATGTTGCCTAAAACAAAATCTTCTATCAGACATTAATTGAGTCTGCACCATGAAAACTGAATGCATACCTACTCGTATATATGTATGTATGTATGCAGGACTAGTTATTGAAGTCCAACAGTATAAAAAAACAACTAGCATGTAAGGAAGATGGAACATAAAGAGGTAGAAGAAAATTACTAAGCATATTTGACAACTGTTAGACAGTTATGATAGCACCACAAAAAAGCCTGTGATCAGTTTCAACATTGACTTAATGGCTTTTGTGCATACATTGTATAAACTTATGCTTGTCTGTGTTTGCATATAAGGAAATTTTGAAACCGATATAGAAACTTTAGTTACAGGCATACACAAATTTTGGTTGCTCATGCTAAACGTTCGGCAATAAGTAAAACATAGTGTATTTGTTTTAAATTTTTGGCACAACGACTGTAAGTATGTATGTACATATGTATAAGCGATATGTTAAAGCCACTGACCCATTGAGCTTATGCACACCAAGACTGCTCAGTCGGACTGAGCAATCCGCTACTCGAGCGCACACTGGACTGGGAAGTCGGCCAAAAATAGGTTTCAGATTTGTAGGCATGAACTGCGCTTCTGTCGAAATATTTGGAAAGTCTGTATTTATGGTCCGATCTATTTTTTATTTAGAACGTTTATTACTTAAATGGAAAGAAGTAACTTCTGAAATAATTTAGACGTAAGTTGGAGCGGAGTAAATTTTTTTGTTATCGCTAATAAAAGCTATGGAAATAATACACCGTGTGTGTTAAAGATTCCGAATTACTAATTCAAAACTTTTAAATTTTAAATTTTGTTTTATATAAATAAGTACATATGGAGTTGTATATATCAAGGGTGTCCTAGATCATCCGTCCACCCCTTCTAAAATGGAGAAAAATGTTTTTATGGGAAAACGTAAGAATACGGGATACCAAGTAGGGGATGCTCTATCTTTTAGTCGTATTAACAACTTCCATTTTTCCGAAATTGGGTAAAATTGACCGGAAGTCCATTTTTTTAGATAGGAAATACATGTTTTACGACAGAATCGGATTCTACGGACTCCACTTAAAAATATTTACTTCAGGTCTATTTATCCACTTCCAGTCAAAACCGGAAGTCAGTAATACAAAAAAAAAATAGACCATACCCGACATGGTAGTTAATATTTGTGCGTTTTCCAAAAAAAAAAAAAACAAATATTTCACTCTATTTGGGAAGAGATGGACGGGTAGTTCAGGACACCCTGAATTAATAACTGTTCTCTAATCACTTCAGAGAATACAGACACATTTTCTGGTTCAGACACAGACGAGCTATATCCTAGTAAATATTTGAAAGAAAATTAAGAAATAAAATTTAAGATGTTTACTACTAAATAATATGTTTTGTTGGAACGAAATGTAGATATCAAATGCACGAATGTATCTAAATATTGCAATATTAGCTATTACATATCTCCGAATATAAAAATAAATCTTAATCTAATAGATATATTTGCAATACAAAATGCACATGTATAAATATTTATATACATACATATATAGATGTAATTTCGCCATATTGCTTATGTACTTACAATTGACATCGAGTATGACCACTTTGTTATTCGGTGGCGTTAGATTCGTATTGCTTGCCACACAAACTAATCTCGCATTCAAATGTTGTCGTCCAATATTTGGATATGACAAGTGGTTAACAGTCTTGCCGTCCGGGCGATGCTCGAATGATTCATCAATCACCGTATTATCTAAATACCATGTTACATTTGGACGTGGACGTCCTGTTTGTGTTTTTGTTGTTGTTGAACAAACATGAGCATACACACGCGAGCGAGTACATAAATGAAGACCGCAATAGCAGTAGTTGAAGATGAACAGCAGCAACGTTTTTTTTTAGTTTTGGTTTTGTTGGTGTTGGTTTTTGTAGCAGTGGCCATGACAGCGACGGTGGCAACAACCGCAGTTACACAGTAGCAGTAATAGCAACCAGAACAATGGCAACATCAGTGGCAGCATTGTTCCAGTTACGCCAAGTAAAAACAAATAAAGTAAAAAATATAAAAAAGTAATAATAGAGAAGAGTTGAAGGAAAACAAAAGCGCATAGCAAAATTAAAAAAAAAAGAAAAGAGTAGTGAAAAATTACGAAAAATGTAGCAAGTTCCCTCAGAAAGAAGGAACCAATGAATAAATGAATGAGAGAAAATAAAAGCAGTAGCACAAAACAAAAAAAAAAAAATACAAAAATAAAAAGAAATGGTATTGAAAAATATTTTTGCCAGTTCATCATTGTCAGTTAAGTTGCACAGTTGAGTGCGGCGGCCATTAGTTAGTTACATGTTTATTTTTGTTGCCGTTGTTGTTGTTGATTTCGTTGATGGTCCATTGCAGTCATCCGTTTTGTTTCGTTTTTTTCGTTGATTTACCAAAAAATAAACAAAGCGCAAAATGGGTATTTTGCCGTGAAGATGTTGGAAAATATGGCAAAAGGGTTCGTTACAGTGGCATATAACGAACACACATGTACGCATTGCGGTCACATTGGTAGTGTGGTAGGTGATGTTGAGCAAAAGTTTTTAGCATTGGAGTAGTGGCAGTGGCAAAAGTGGTTGTGATGGTAGCATTGCCAAATCAAATAACGATCGATGGTGTTTTTATTTATACCGGAAATGAAAGAGAGCAAAGAAAATTAAATCAGTTTGGTTTCCAGAAATATTTCATAATACATTCAAGATTAAAGACTACTTAGATTAGAGATAGTTTCCGGTACCATTAAGCAACATGTGGATTATGTTTGGGGGAGTGAATTTGTGACAGAGTAAGTTTTATATTCCTCTAAAGACATTGCTATGAGCCATTTAATTTACTTTAAATTTAATTTATCTATGCAACATTGATCCTATAGTTTTATTTACATCAGCGAGGCGGCTGTTATTTAGAAAGTCACACAAACAGCCTTCGAGTAATATTTCATACTAATCATTGTGCGACTGAAGCACTTGCGATCGCCCTCTTCCACCATACTTAACTACCAGATCTCTTGGGTTTCATCTATACTGATACTTTGATATAACCGCGGCTAGTGGGATGTGTGCCTCATCCTTGCACTCGTAGATGAAATACAAAATGGTCAAACATTCCTCCTAGTAGAGGTAAGCATATACACGGGCGATTAGAAGTGAGTGCATAGTAATTTGCGTTCAAATTTAACATTTTCTTCTAGCTCGCGGCTTTATACAATTATTACCATATAAACGCGAATTTCTTGTAGAATAAACAAATTTTAAAATCAACGCTAATTTTTATAAATTGTATTTGCTATATGAAAAAAAAACGCAAAAGACTCAACAAAAAAAAAAATATTAAAAATCACCGCAAATTTCATAAGCATACAGAAAAATCTTTAACAAATTCAATCAAAATGTTCAAATTTTTTATGAAAATTTGTTAAATTTTTCAAAAAATTGTTTGGAGTAATGTATGGAATTTGTAAGTTTGACTTAAGTGGTTTTGGTTAACCATATTTTCATAAAAAATAACACAAATTTTGTCTGAAAAAAAAAATTCCAAATATTTATCACAAATCACGATGTACTCAGTGTTGATCACTTCTGAAAGTATGCAGCAATTTTCAATCGCATTAGAGCAGACTGGCTGTCAAAAAAGAGACACCAGCAATGGGGTTCGGAAAATCGCTATCGCTTATTTGTAATGCCAAAAATATCTAAATGAATAGCCGGCGCGCCTAATAACATTCAAAATATTGTTACAATTATCCTTAAATATTTGATGGATTTTCCAAAATCCTTTGACCTCGTATCGCTGCATTGTTAAATAAACACTCAAGGTGACCAAACAGTACACTTAACTTTATTGTACAACAAATACTTTACAATACTCGCTAAAGCAATTACAACCCTTTACAAATCTTGCTAACGAAATTGATCTGTGTTTTACAACTTAACTTGTAGCTTATTGATTCGCAACGGACTTGGTAAGATATGGGTAATTCCCTCAAGGGGGGATTGGGCCGAGCGGAACTTCTGGAGGGGGTGCAATGAACTTCTTCACGAATGGGTCGGAACTAGATGGCAGGGTTGGTGGTGAGGTCTTCTGCCGAGAGCTTTTCATCAGTACTAAGTTCAGGCTTTCGGACTTCAGCAGTGCATTCCAGGCGGAAGTGGCTGCTATAAAGGCGGCGGTGGATTCACTGCTTCCGAGTGGTATGACAGTTAGCGAAGTGAGCATTTATCTGATAGCCAAGTGGCTATCAGGGCCTTGAATACATTGGAGTTGCGCTCTAATTTGGTTAAGGTATGTCTGCTCTCTCTTTCGGTCGCGTCGGAATACTCCCGTATTAGGCTTATTTGTCCAGCATCATTGAGGGAATTGTGTGGCTGACGAATTGGCCAGGTAGTAAAGCTGATGGTACTACCGGATCTGGTATGTCGCAGTCGCCTGGAAGATGAGGAGGTGGAATCACCTCAAAACTCCCTAGCCCAGTTTATGCGAAGCTACGGTTGAAGTAGGCTCTCACGTCCTAATTATCCCCAAAGAGCTTTGGGGCGTTGAGATTAGCCGAATTCGTAAATAAATAATCGGCTCACGGCGTTTCATCGACTAAGTATTGGGTGCCGTTCAGAATGTGGTATCCCAAAGGATAATTTCCTAATTGTCTAAGTGAGCCCCGGTTACACGGGGCTGCCACCTAACCTAACCTATAAGTGTGAAATTAAAGTGCAGGTTGCCAACTTACAAAAATTGGTTTCTAAGCATTTTGCTGCAGTGCAGTAAAGAAGTGCTGTAAGGTGTTTTTTGGTATGAGGAATCCATTTCTGTACTTATATTTTTTTCGAAACCTATTTTCGCAATTGGCAAACTTCTTTAATTTCCAAATTTCCATAGAATCCTCCTATGCTATACACATATAGTAAAAAAATTCGGCCTGCCCTTACATACACACATACATATCTGTATCTGGTGCCACTGTCATTCTGACTGTTATCTAATAATCTAATAATACACCTGCTTGCAGCCACACCTACTGGTCAAGAGACAATACTGATTTCAGTGGGGCGTTAAATCGAATAAGTCGGACTCATCGCACCAAAGACAAATATTTTTCTGAGGTGACCCTTAACTCCTCTGGGGTTAGTCAACACACCTCCTTCGCATACCCCATACAAAATGTTTATAGCTAAAATAAGTGCATAAATATGATACCGAATAAAATATGTATGCTTACCGCCTGTCACCTCACAAGCCAATACAATATCAGTGCCTTCGTTAAACGACTCCACATTGCTGGCTTTGTCATGCCTGTTGGGACCATAAATCACAGGACGATCTGGTGGCACTATAATTTAGAAAGAAACATAACATTAAAAGTCGTTTAATATGTATAATCTGTGTATAAATTAAGTATTTAGTGTTTAACCTTATTAAAATATTTTGTTTCCAATATATTATATGTACATAAGTAATAATACGAATTTTTAGGAAAGCCATATTTTTTCGAATATTGATAAAACAATTTATCTCGAGTTATGTTAATTTCTCTTTAAAGCAATATTTAGTTGGGTTCCCAGATAATTTCTTAACGATATTGCTTAATAATAAATGATGTAACATCGCGCTACAGTCAATTTACACACAAAAGAATCAATTAGGGAGTGGAGAAGGTGTTGCATACTGTCGTATTGGTGTAGGTAGTAAACCTTAAACGAATAAAACTATATATTTAGGGGATTCCCAAACTAACTTAAAAGTCGTATTATGAACTTTCACACCATTAAAAAATAGTGGGTTGTGGTTTCAAGCTCTCTAAACAATCAGTTAGCCGTTAAAAACTTTACGACATTCTACAAAACGACATGTCCTAAGTATATTCGCGAAATTATGATCTAAAAATAGTAAAACTGCACAAAGAAAAGAGTAACATGGTATTTTCATACAGCGTCATTTTTGGGGTTTCCTAGTTAGCGGTCCGATATGTTTGATCAGAAAAAGTATTTTTTAAACAAACTGAATACATAACTTTGTTTGATCGATCACACAGTGGTGTTGTCTAGAAATTATCACCAAGAATCAGTTCAGCCCAATAATAAAATTTCAAACAACGCCACTCTGTAGCTAGTGAAAAGTTTGTTCGACCGATCAAGGGATGGTGTTGTCTAGAAATTTTGTACAGAGAATGAGTTCAGCCCAATCAAAAATTTCCAAACAACGTCACTCGCAAAGCATACATTTGAAAGAACAATTAAATGTTGCGCCAGCAGCTGAGTGCGCTATAATTTCTTGCGACCCAGAGTGTCTAGGTTCAAATCTCATTAGGCAGAAAATATAGGTAATTTTAAATTTTTGTTATTGGATTTTTTAATTACGAAAAAGTATATGTGAAGTGCACAACAAAATCGTGTTCAAACGAAAAAATCTCCAAAAAAAAAAACCTGTTTAAAGTAAAAAAGTAATTGACTGGAGCAAAATCATATGTGTTTTTGTTTAAAACAAAGACGACATGGTTGATTTTTTTTGTCAGTGTGTGTGTTTAGATTTTATATATAGCGTCAGAGATTTTTCAAAGGACTTTGAGATTACAAAAATACGATTAGTTAAAAAATTATTTAACACAATTCAGTGGATAAAATTGTATCCCTGAATGTCCTTGAACATTTTCAATATTTATTTTTGAAAAAAATCATATTCTCGAATCCTGTTCTTTTAACTTTTTTCAATTCTGGAGAATTTTCTCTTTCATTTAGTCATTGCTATTTTTTAAATAATTTTTTTTTAATGTATTGTATTATTCAAAGTCAATTTCAAATAAATCCTGACGTCACACATTGCTTCCCTTCCAAATAAAATGCGGACAAAAATAGAATTATGGACGAATTTAAATAAAAATTTGCTTTTTAGTGAAACTGGGGACGCAGAATTCGAAAATATAAGTTATTTTTTGATAAATTTCATAATTACACTGTAAATGCAGTTTGAAGTTGAAAATTTGTGTTCTTGTATACAATATACAGCATATACATACATAGATATGTACATATGTATTTAAAAAGAAATATCTAATTACTTCTCACTTATTTCTGAAACTTTAAAGCACGATGTCCTAAAATATTATTTTGTTTCAATTAAATTTAACTTTACAACGTGGCAACCTTCTTCAAAATATTTGCAAGCTAAAACCTTCTTAAACCTGTTCCGTCTGATTTCCATATGCTGATATCTACGTATCTATCAATTACCCATTCTCTTAATTCAAATGAAATGGTGAAAACCCTCGTATATGAAGTTAATAAATCTTTTTCATACGCATTTCGATCGACACCCATATTTTAATAATTCATTTAATTTTTAAATAATTTGAATTTAATTTTTTAACAAGTGGTAACTCTTAAACAAAAATAAACCTCTATTGTATGTTTTCAGGCCTGACACTTCACTTTTTGAAAATCGAATGAGACGTGCAGATCTGATGGCACTGAATATATATACCATTTCATTACAAAAAATGGGTTTCTGGAGTACCGTCGGGACATCTGTGTTTTATTTTATTCCAAGTTTTTTCTTCTTATAGTTCTCTATTGTAGGAAGGGGAAATAAATAACGTCAAACCAACACTTTATTTCAAAGAATGTATTTTTAACATTTGTTTCCGTGAAGAGCTTACGCATGGCTATACTCTGATTAAAATTCTTGGCACAAAAATTGTTGAAATTAGTAGCTTACTGGCG